GGAGGAAACTTATTATAATGATTAAGGTGTTTATTCATCGGTGTGATCGATCTCAAGATCAGTAAACGCTCAGACGTGCTGTCTGCTTCAAATAACTTGCTCGTGATTCACTGGATTTCCCCTGCCATTTCAGAACAAGGTCAACAACGGGTGAAAAAACAAGGTCTTTGAGGGAGATGGTTTGAAGGCACCTGAAAGTACAAACTGACAAAAGAAGGTCTGTTCCCATCCTCCCAAGTGAGGGAAAGCACGTACCTCCATGTTTTTGCTTGGTGCACTTCTTCACTGACATATATAACTGTGACAAAGTTATCTCAGAAGAAAATACAAGTCCTAAGCCCTGGAGAAGCACCACCTCGTCTTAAGGACAGAGCTCAGCTTGGAGACCTCACAGGCAGTTCATGGAAACCCAACTCTGTGGTGGCAAAAAAAAAAAGGGACTGTCAATCGCTAATGAACCCTTAAAATCTATTTGTTGTTCATTCAAGCACCCAGGGGGAAAAATAAAAATAAAAATAAAAATCACAGCCCTGTGCGGCCTATTGTGGGGTGGTTTTTGCCATTCTCGGGGGATTTTGGTGAAAGAAAGGCCGAAACGGGGATTTTGGTGAAAGAAAGGCCGAAACGAAGATTGAGCTATCTATTAAATAAAATTAGAATCATAGAATTGCCCAGGCCGGAAGGGACCTCCAAAGGCCATCTAGTCCGACCTCCCCGCAGTCAGCAGGGACACCCCCAACTAGACCAGGTTGCCCAGGGCCTCGTCGAGCCTCTCCTTGAATATCTCCAGGGATGGGACCTCAACCACCTCCCTGGGCAACCTGTTCCAGTGCTCCACCACCCTCACAGTGAAGAACCCTCTCCTCATCTCCAGTCTAAATCTGTTCCCCTCCAGCTTGAAGCCATTGCCCCTCGTCCTGTCACTACAGGCCTTTCTAAACAGGTTCTCCTGTTACCGCTATTACCTTTCACCTCTTCTGTGGTAACAGCTGTAGGAGCGGTATCTGGCCAACTACGCAACTGCCCGGGTTTATCAAAGGTGTTGACACCCCACGCGTCACGTGTGAGAAAAGCCAAGTGTTTATTTTCCACATTAACACGGCGTTAACCTTCTATTAAGAAGCAGCATAATCTCCCGTGAAGGACAGCAACCACACGGGCCACCCTCCACCGGCAAATTAACCACGGATGGGACCATTTCCCTGTGGCAGCCAGGAGCTGGCCCCACACCAGAAGCCCCCCCGACCTTCCAGCTCAAGGTGGCCGTGGAGAAAGATTTGGGCAGATGGTGCCACCAGTGCTGGGACCTGCTCCTGGGGACACTGGTGGCCTCAAACACAACCTGCTGGGGAAGCTGCAGTGATTTAACGAGGTAGGGGAGTTCAAGTTAGTGTAGAGACAGCCTTAGCCCACGTATGTCGCGTACACAACCACATCATCTACTGCCTAAATCCACCAGGATCCCATTTTTCCCCCTTTTTGACGCCAGCTGGTGGAGAAGCTGAGGGCCGAGGCTGTGAAACGTGAGTGGTTTAACGTGCTCCTCACCGCTTCAGCGCACACAAAGCCTGGCTACAAGAGGAAAGCAAACAAAAAAGCCACCGGTGGGTGATAAGGAGCTTCCTTGGATGTTGCACCCACGCGGATTTGTTCAGGCGGTGCCTGATCCCTGTTTGTTTTCCAGGATCATGTTCTTCAGCTTTATCAGCATGGGGTGTTTGTTTTTTTTTTAATTCAAAACACTTCATTCAGGCTTCATCCTGGGACATCTGCTCCAGCTTTTAACGTTTGCGGTCGCGGTCTGCGGACCAGTTACAAACCAGTCCCTGCGGAGCAGATACCACCAGTTCCTGGTGGTGTTTCCATGACTGGGAATTTTCACAGAATCTTCTAGGTTGGAAGGGACCTTAAAGATCATCTTGTCCAACCGTCAACCTAACTGACAAAAATAGACACCCACACAACAAACAAGGAGCATCACCATCACTAAACCATACCTCCCAGCACTACATCAACCTGTCTTTTGAACACCTCCAGGGATGGGGCCTCAACCACCTCCCTGGGCAGCCCATTCCAATGGCTGAGAACCCTTTCAGTGAAAAAACTTTTCCTAATATCCAGCCTGAACCTCCCCTGGTGTAACTTGAGGCCGTAATTTTAGCATCACCGAAGACCAATCCAACATTCCAAGTTTGAGCATCACCAATTTTAGCATCACCAAAGACCAATCCAACATTCCAAGTTTGAGTGTTCAACCTGAAAGACTTTACTCGCATTCCTATTCATTAGTGTGAGCTACACATTGAATACAGGCTTTGAGAGCTTCAACAACGTACTCCCTTACTGGGGGACACGACGGTCCCAGCGCTGCTGAGCTGGGAGTAGAAAACAAATGAACCTGCTGTAGGCATGCTCTAGTGCCCGGGATTGTTGAGTTGTGTCTGTTTGTGGGGGGCTTTTTTTGTTTGTTTGTTTTTGGTGGTTTTTTTGGTTTTGTTTTTTTTTTTTTTGTGGTTGGACTCGATGGTCTCAGAGGTCCCTTCCAACCACTAAGATTCTGTGATTCTGTGATTCTGTGATCCTTCACGTCTTCTCCTGGGCCTGGCTCTCCAAGGGGTGAGGGAGAGCAGGTTCCTCTGCAGGGCTGACCACATCCAGGAGCTCCAGCACTCAGAAGCCATCAGAGCAGTAATTCCTTCTCAAGCAGCGGGACTGCTTTATGTCTGGGCAGAGTTTTTGATCTTAGAGTGGTGAGACGCTTTTCCCACCATCCTCAAGCCAAGTTCATTCATCACAGAAGGTATGATGTCACTCTATACTATAATCTTGATGTCACTCTATACTATAATCTATATGGTCTCCTGAGTAACTCTGGGCAGCTCATTCTCCCCCTCAGCCAGGACACAGCTGATCAGGACAAGGTATGTCAAGGCTACGAAGCTATGGCACCACTTCTGGTGGAGAGACGACTATGACCCTTCAACCTGAGAAGAAAGACAACCCTAAAAGCTTGATAGATGCCCAGGAAATGACAACTGGCACGGAGATACTGGACAGGGATTGCCAGTAGCCAGTTGGCAACTGGTCTCGGCCAGTGCAAGAAGCCCAGGGCATAACATGAGGCCACCTTGTAGGTGGCAGCTCCAAACACCAGAAGCTGGGGCTGGTTGGGTTTTTATCCCTGAGAAGCTGTATTTAAGCTGTATTTAAGCTGTGGAGCTCATCGCCACAGGATGCCGTGAGCTGCTAAAAGTGGGCCTGGGTTTTAAAAAGTCACCAGACGAGCTCATGGAAGGAAAAAAAAAATAAAATCCATCGAGGGTTATTAAAAACAAGACACGGTGTCTGGATCAGTAAAGCCATGAGCTGAAAATCATTAGATGCTAAAACAATGTTCTGGGGAGGTCACTCTTAACTGCCTGGGCGCTTGCAGAAAGCATCTGGCTCCAGCTGCTGTTGGGAACTGTCATGGATTAACTTCTGGTCTGACCTGGACTGGATTTTCTGGCGGTTCCTGTGGTTTTTTTCCACACTACCCAAGCCCTAGCGCTGCCAGGTGAGCGAGTCCTGGGTTTGGATCTGGCCAGCTGACCTCCTGCAGGAGCAAACAATGGAGGGCCCCACCAAGGAACTGCCCGACCAGACGATTTACTCTCCCAGGGCCTTGCTGGGAACATGGAGAGAGGAACCCCATGATGCATCCAAATGAAACCACTTTCTGGTGGTGCCACCTCGGCGTGGACTATTCTTCTACACCGTGGTGAGCTCAGGGATGGTGCTGTGCTTGGGACCAAGAGACCGTTGGCATGAAGGTGACTTCCACTCAGGAAATCCCTCACAATCACTGTGCTTCATCAGGAAAAGACCTGGAAAACTAGGGCTGTGGTCTTCAAAAGGAATAAGCCTCCCTTTATTTTTGTGGATCCACATGGCACTTCCTGAAATTTCACTGAATTTCACTGAATTTTTAGAGTTGGAAGGGACCATAGAGAATTCCACCAAATCTACTTCCAAACATCTTCTGAGTAACCACAGGCAGAGACCTTCTGCCGCGAAATACTCCAACACCTTATTTGTGAATTAAAATACTTCTAAAAATATATTATTTGGTATAAATCTCTTGGTTCTTTTCTTTAGTGGAATAAGCATAGCATTAAATTACAGGAAAGCACAACTATTATCTCATAGTTTTCTTTTTTTTTTATTATAGACTTTTGATCCACATGAATGATAAAGAAACTACAACAGAGTTAAATACCTTTTTTGATAACAGTGATTATATTCTTAATTACACTCAATATTAAATTGTAAAATATTTCCAGAGGAGTACAATCTTAATTCATACAGCAGGCAAAATACCAGAGGGGGAGGGAGGGAAAGGGACAAGGTTGGGGGGGGGGAGTGGGGGGGGGTGAGAATTTCCAGCCTGCTTTTAAAAAGCACTTGTGTATGGCTAACGCTGCTCCATCCATCCATCCATCCATCCATCCATCCATCCGTCTGTCCATCCATCCATCCGTCTGTCCATCCATCCATCCGTCCATCCATCCATCCATCCATCTGTCCATCCGTCCATCCGTCCATCCATCCACCCATCCCATCCATCCACCCATCCAAACGTGGTTCTGGCCCATCTGGCGAGACGCCCATTTTTTTTTTGCCGTAAAACAACCGCTATTCAAAAGCAAAAGGTGACCCCTGTGGGTGTCACCAGTGCTCCTGGCGTCGCTCGGCAGTTCCTTTCCCAGCTGGTCTGGACAATTCATCAAAAGCATTTTCTCTATCAAGTTCAGTATTTCCTTCTAAAAACACAAAGACTTAAACTTTGGTACCACCAAAAAAAAAAAAAAAAGATCCAGACAGGCATTTTTTTATTATTTTTTTGTTTTTTTTTTTTTCTGTTGTCTTGTTTTTACTAATAAATGGCTGCTACATTCTACTTTACATGGTTGTCCATGATGCACTGAGGTCACTTGTCCTTGGATTCAAGGAACCTGATTTGTTCTGTTTGTTCTTTAAATCCCCAAGCCCTCCTTTTAAAGTCTTTTGTACAAGTCAGGGTTCTGACTGGTGAGTTATAACTTACAAGTTAACAGCTGCAGAAGTTCCCAAGCTTCTAGGACATGGAGAGAGGAACCCCATGATGCATCCAAATGAAACCACTTTCTGGTGGTGCCACCTCGGCGTGGACTATTCTTCTACACCGTGGTGAGCTCAGGGATGGTGCTGTGCTTGGGACCAAGAGACCGTTGGCATGAAGGTGACTTCCACTCAGGAAATCCCTCACAATCACTGTGCTTCATCAGGAAAAGACCTGGAAAACTAGGGCTGTGGTCTTCAAAAGGAATAAGCCTCCCTTTATTTTTGTGGATCCACATGGCACTTCCTGAAATTTCACTGAATTTCACTGAATTTTTAGAGTTGGAAGGGACCATAGAGAATTCCACCAAATCTACTTCCAAACATCTTCTGAGTAACCACAGGCAGAGACCTTCTGCCGCGAAATACTCCAACACCTTATTTGTGAATTAAAATACTTCTAAAAATATATTATTTGGTATAAATCTCTTGGTTCTTTTCTTTAGTGGAATAAGCATAGCATTAAATTACAGGAAAGCACAACTATTATCTCATAGTTTTCTTTTTTTTTTATTATAGACTTTTGATCCACATGAATGATAAAGAAACTACAACAGAGTTAAATACCTTTTTTGATAACAGTGATTATATTCTTAATTACACTCAATATTAAATTGTAAAATATTTCCAGAGGAGTACAATCTTAATTCATACGGTGAGTTATAACTTACAAGTTAACAGCTGCAGAAGTTCCCAAGCTTCTAGGAATTAAAAAAAAAAAAAAAGAGAGAGAGAAAGTGTTACCAACACAAAGTTTGAGATTTCTTTATGCACAGAATTACAACATTTATTAATAATCCTTGAAAAAGGATTGTTGCTAATGTGCATTTAGGATCCTGTACAACTGTGAGGTGGCAGCAATGTAAGATACAGTAACACAGGATTAAGTTGTATGTTTTTAACAATATTAATCATCTGCCTATTATCAAAAGGATTTGACAAAATTTTCTATAATCAACACAGAGACTACTTTAAAGATTCAAAAATGGCAAGTTTCACGCAGTACTTAGGACAGAGTTTCCTAAATCAGATTGTGCCCACACAAACAGATAAAAAGATTAGCGTATATAATTAAGATGTTTCTCTTTTTGCAAAAAGCCGTGAATCATTGGTACCAAATGATTTCTGAAAGACTGAGAAATCCAATCGTTGAGAAAGACTCACTCTTTCCCACTGTCAACGTTTGTCAGCAAATCCTTGGGAAATCTACTCTTCCAAATCCTTGTAAAATCTAATCTTTGAAATCCCATCTTGGAAAATTCGTGAAATCTACCTTTTGAAATCCTTGGAAAATCTACACTTTGATACCTGCACGAGTCACCTGCTGCAGAAGCATCCTCTGAAACTTTGCTAATTACTGCCTGCAGAGTCACGTGGAAATGTTCACATTTAAGAGAAGAGCAAACTGTAGCTGACTGAAATATATAACTGAACACAACACGAGCTGCTGCAGAAAGGAACACAAAGCCCAAGGAGGGTAGCAAAGGGCTGGAGAGAAATGCAGAGCATTAATTGAGGGGTCACTCTGCGATGCACTGGGTCTTGACCCCCTGGGTGTATTGTGTGGGTGACACATCACAGAGTCACAGACTGGCAGGGGTTGGAAGGGACCTCTGGAGATCATCTAGTCCAACCCCCTGCCAGAGAAGGGTCACCCAGAGCAGGTCCCACAGGAACGTGTCCAGGAGGGGTTGGAATGTCTCCAGAGAAGGAGATTCCACACCCTCTCTGGGCAGCCTCTGCCAGGGCTCTGCCACCCTCAAAGGAATGAAGTTTTTCCTCATGTTGAGTTGGAATTTCCCATGTTCCAGTTTGTGCCCATTGCCCCTTGTCCTGTCACTGGGCACCACTGAGAAGAGTGTGGCCCCATCCTCTTGCCACCCACCCTTTAGATATTGCTCAGCATTGATGAGGTCCCCTCTCAGCCTTCTCTTCTCCAGGCTGAACAGCCCCAGGTCTCTCAGCCTTTCCTCAGCAGAGAGATGCTCCAGTCCCTTCATCATCTTTGTAGCCTCCTCTGGACTCTCTCCAGCAGTTCCCTGTCCTTCTGGAACTGGGATGTATGTGCACGCACATTTCTCGAGGCAACTCTTCCCTGCTTGCCACACTGAGAATCTGAAATTGCTTCTGAACAACACAGTCGCTGTTCTCTGCTTGACTGATTTAGCTGAGCAGTTAAGTAACAACTAATCTTTCAAAAGCGCTAGGGCCTACTTAGAGAAATCCCCCTTGTCTGCAGGGATGGCGTGCCACTGGAAACAAAAACCAGTGTGAGGAACGCATCCATCCTTCACTCTCCCAGCAAATCAGCGGGCAACGCTGGTCGCTGTGATGCCAGCACCTTCCTCGCAGGGCTTTTCCGGCACCATCCTCTGGCAGGCTTTTATGGGAAATCAGTGCTTTTCCCACACGGAGCTCGGGGCAGGACCCGCTGCTTCTCACCCGGGGAGGCACACTGATTTATTCAGGGTATTAGCATCCCTGGGTTTCTTTTAAATCAGTGCTCAGATTAATGCGGACTCGACTGGAAAACGCTGGCAGTCAGTAAGAAAGTCCGCACAGGAAGGCAAAAGAGACCAACATGATGCTTAGATTAATCTCCTTATCTCCAGAGCTCCAGGCCACAGACACGGGTTATCTGGTCACTCTATGCTTACTCCTCATGTTTTTAAGTATCTCCTCCTTCCACAGCTCAGGCAAACCTCCATCACTGATCCTACCAAACCCTTCTGAGATGCCCCAGACCTTCCTTTGCACACTTTATGCACTACTGAGGTCCCTACGTATGAATAGCTCTTTTTTTTCAAGTCCACCTACTCCATGGATTTTTCCAGCGAATCCACAAGCCAGATTTTGTGGCACAACACAGCAGCAGGGCTACCAGCTTTTTGCCTCTCTGTCTCCAAGCCCTAGTCTTCTTGTTTTACCAGAAAAAAAGGGAATGTCATTTAAGTATTAAGGCTTTAGCACCCAAAACTGCAACCTCTCAGGCCACTGATGATGGACACAGTGCTTCTTCCAATTGAATGCTTCTGAAAAACACTCCTGAAAAATGCAGTGTTGGGTTTAGGAGGATGCTGCACGTGGGCAACAGGAGACTGAACCGCACAAGACAGGACTGGTGAAATTCTGGAAAGCTCCCAAAACACACTACTCTTTTCTGAAGCTGCAGAAGCTCCATCAAGGGCAGAAAAACCCACCCCTTTCCAGCCCGTGCGTGGACTTTTCACTGCACTGTGACTTTTCCCTCCTTCTGCTGAAGGTAAGTGTCCTTGATGCCACTTTCCAGTGCCAGAGAGTAGAAGCACACACTCAGGCCTGGATTCACCCAACGGTCAACCCTCAACGCTACGCCCTACCCCAGCAAAGCCTCATAATTCATGTGACATATCAGTCACCAGCTTTAGACCACAGCACGACACCTCCACAGGCAGAGATTTCCAACCAGAACCAGAAGAAATCACACAACAGAGAATAATTCTCTTAATTCTTGCAATGGCTGTAAAGAAATGAAGTCTTTCCTTTCCCAAGCTCACCTTTAGCTTTTGCTGAGGTGCGCACCGAGCTTCTCTTTCCTGATCAAGCTTGCTGCATAGGGAATCTGCAACGACACAGAAACAAAGCCCCTGCTTTAAACCAAGGTTTGGCTAACGAAATATCCCAGCTGGGATCCCTCAGAATTAAAGGGGATTTTTTTTTTTGCCTCCTTATATCATTTTAGGACACAGAGCCTTGAATTAAAAGGATGGAACTCCTTACAAAACCGCAGGAATGTTGAAGCAGAAATAAAATAAAACCAGCCCAAATTAAAACAACAGATAGATCTTAAAATCCAGCGTCTTCTGAGGTTTTATTTGTATCAAAAATAAAGCCACCACCCCTTCTGCTACCTGTGAGAAGACAAAAATCAGGTGTCTGTAACAGAGCAAGCAACACATACTCATCTCTGCGCAGCTGAAATATAGGTTGGGAGTACGAGACTTCTTGCATTTCTATCACCATAATTAGGAAAGTTCATAATAGTTATTTCTGACTTGCACCAATCCAAGGGAAGCCAATGAAGTGGAACAAATAATTAAAGAAAAACAGAGAACATAGGCATATTAGGGAACAGTGTTATATTTAGAAACAAAGTGGGATGATGTGCTCACTGGCTACTGGGAATACAGTGCAGGGCCGCTCTTCTTCAATGCTGGGCCTGCAGAATGCAACAAAACTAAATTGCTCTGAGATTTCTCCATAGCTGGGAATCCAAGTGACTACAAATTCACTATTTTTCTGCCTTTTGCAAGGACTGTTGGAGGAATTCAGGTTGCGATCAGAAAATATACGTCCCTACGCTCCCAGGTGCTGCTGCACACTGAGGTGACCTGTTTCTGCTGTCAGGTGCTCCAGAATATAGTCACAAATAATGTCAAATGTGTTACTGCAAGCTGACTAATAGGCTGGGCTGAAGGCAGGAGCAAGCATGAACAGCAAAAGGAATCACAGACTGGCAAGGGTTGGAAGGGACCTCTGGAGATCATCTAGTCCAACCTCTGCCAGAGCAGGGCCACCCAGAGCAGGTCCCACAGGAATGTGTCCAGGTGGGGTTGGAATGTCTCCAGAGAAGGAGACTCCACCACCTCCCTGGGCAGCCTCTGCCAGGGCTCTGCCACCCTCACAGGAAAGAAGTTCCTCCTCATGTTGAGATGGAACTGCCTATGGTCAAGTTTGTGCCCATTCCCTCTTGTCCTGTCCCTGGGCACCACTGACAAAAGCCTGGCCCATCCTCCTGACACCCACCCTTTAAATGTTTATAACCACTGATGAGGTCCCATCTCAGTTTTCTCTTCTCCAGACTAAAAAGACCCAAGTTCCTCACCCTGTCCTCATCAGAGAGATGTTCTAGTCCCTTCATCATCTTCGTAGAACAGACAGGGAAATGCAGAGAGTTCAAGTGTCCTGCCCCATGCATATAACAACATACTACAAGCATGTGAATTTCCATCCATGTCCACTGATCACATACCTAATATGCATTCTTATAGAATCATGGAATGGTTTGGGTTGGAAGGGACCTTAAAGACCATCCAGTTCCAACCCCCTGCCCTGGGCAGGGACACCTCCCACCACACCAGGTTGCTCCAAGCCCCCTCCAACCTGGCCTTGAACCCCTCCAGGGATGGGGCAGCCACAGCTTCTCTGGGCAACCTGGGCCAGGCTCTCACCCCCCTCACACCAAAGAACTTCTTCCCCACATCTCATCTCCATCTCCCCTCTTTCAGTGTCAAACCCTTCCCCCTCATCCTATGGCTCCCCTCCCTGATCCAGAGTCCCTCCCCAGCTTTCCTGGAGCCCCTTGAGGGACTGGAAGGGGCTCTAAGGTCTCCCCGGCGGCTTCTCTTCTCCAGGCTGAACACCCCCAACTCTCTCAGCCTGTCCTCACAGCAAAGGCCTTGAACTGCTTTCCAGGGCTGGAAAAGGCTGGAAAACTCCTCTCCAAATTGCAGTGGAGAGGAGCACGCAAAGAAACCCTTTACCTGATCACCTCTTTGCACAGTTTAGATTCAAAAAATTCAAACAAACTGCCTGAATAAACACATTTCAGCTGAGAACCGTGATGCTTTGCCAACTGCTTTCTTCCTCTCTCCCACTCAGAGCGGCCAACGGGCAACACCGGTTTGCATGGCCGCCAGGTATATAGGACATCTCCCAAACCGAGCTGACCTAGATAATACAGTGGGGTACATTCTGTCAGAAATTAACTGTTCTTAATCCACTTCTCTACAGCTATATTTGGCACATCAGCGTTTTTTCGATGCGTGTTGGTTGGTCCGTTCTCCCGGTAACAAATGAAAGTGGGAGAGGTGGGTGTTCAATGGGGAAATGACTACTTTCTTCATGAGTTAAATGCCATCTTCTACTTTTGTCATCGGAAAAGCATTCAGTAACTCCAGTGTTGTGCTGGAATAGCACTTAGGGCTCTTCATGACAATACAGTCCCCTTTTGTGCATCCATGATGACTGTTGCGATGGAAACAGGATCCAGCACTCAAATGGGCATGCAGATGCAACACACAGCCCTTATCAAAGTGCCTACATCCCTGCCAGTAATAACAAAAACGTGAATGGATGGGTTTGAAATAGCAAAAAATCTGTTTCTCATGACTAAGTCCACAGTAATAGGAAATACATCACAATGGGAGCAGATCCGTGGGGTGCAGGAGAAAGACTCAAGTGTCCATACTGCATTTCTGTTTGGTTTTTTCCTTCCTTCAGGCCATCTCTACTCTGGTCCTGGGAACTGATCACTCATTCAGAGCTAGGGCATTCCTGGAACACATCCAGAAGGAATCCAGTTTGCAAGCTCCAAGTCTGCTCCACAACACGAACCAAAGCACAGATAAGCAAACAGGATTGGGGATTCATTTCTAAAGTGTGTGTCTGATCCCTGCTGCACTTGGACATCTAAGAAGCTTCCGTACACCATCCTCTTCTGGAGACTACACCCTTGCATCCCATCTCTAGGTGGGATACACAATGATACACCACCCTGACTTCTGTTGCTTGAAGAAGGCATTTTCAGTACCCCAAAGCACTATTATCTGATATGTATCTACGGGTATTTAGTTAGACAACTCTCATTTCTGGAGAGTGCACTTGAGACCTCGGTCAGAACACTGTCCAGTTGAGACAACCCTTCCAAATGCAAAGAATATTTATGCAGGGAAGATGTGCAGCTGGAAAACTACAGTCTCTGCATATATGGTGCTTCTGGATAGAGCTATAGGTGGGATTAAGGAGAAGAAAAAGATGCACTGAGCCTGGAGAGCAGGAATAGAAGGGCAATGGCTTGCCCTAGAGTGTGAGTCTCCACTATTTTGCCCTGTGAAAGTATTTATAGCTAAGATCTTCCATAGAAAGGTCTATAAAAACACATCCACAGAAAAAGGATTCTGCACACACAGGCAATAGCAGGTGCTGGCTTGCAGGTCCCTTGTACACAGCCATCCACTTTTGATCAGCATTTCTGCAGATTCTAAAGGAAAGGAAGCTTTTACTTCTGTTTTTAATAACCATTAATTCTACAGGGCATTCTTTTCTTTAACATTTGAATTTACTGGAGGAAGAGGCACAGCTCCATCCTAGTCACCCAAGGCATACCCAGGTGCATTGCCAAGACACAAAGTTTCACTCACCTGTCTTAAAAAAGCAGACAAAATTCTGCTGAAAACAGTACTCGTTAACTCACTTTTCTGTATATAGTTAGGCATTGATACCTTCAGCCTCAAAAGGACATAGTCCCAATTTGTACCACTAAATCTGGAGAGGAACTCCACCAAAACCCAAATGAAGATAACAGGACATGTAGTATCATCCCAACTGCTAAAGCACAGAAGAAGAAATTAATGAGAAAAAATATAAACATGTCTCGGTTTAGAGGTGGGCAAGGTTATGACATTTGCCTTGGAGTCTGCAAGACACAGAGTTCCAGAAATGCTCTTTTATCTGTTATTATCCAGGTGTTGGTGGACAGGCACTTTGGCATGAGATGCAGCTCAAGATATCCGCACACAGGCAATAGCAGGTGCTGGCTTGCAGGTCCCTTGTACACACCCATCCACTTTTGATCAGCATTTCTGCAGATTCTAAAGGAAAGGAAGCTTTTACTTCTGTTTTTAATAACCATTAATTCTACAGGGCATTCTTTTCTTTAACATTTGAATTTACTGGAGGAAGAGGCACAGCTCCATCCTAGTCACCCAAGGCATACCCAGGTGCATTGCCAAGACACAAAGTTTCACTCACCTGTCTTAAAAAAGCAGACAAAATTCTGCTGAAAACAGTACTCGTTAGCTCACTTTTCTGTATACAGTTAGGCATTGATGCCTTCAGCCTCAAAAAGACATATTCCCAATCTGTATCACTAAATCTGGAGAGGAACTCCACCAAAACCCAAATGAAGATAATAGGACATGTAGTATCATCCCAACTGCTAAAGCACAGAAGAAGAAATTAATGAGAAAAAATATAAACATATCTCTGGTTTAGAGGTGGGCAAGGTTATGACATTTGCCTTGGAGTCTGCAAAACACAGAGTTCCAGAAATGCTCTTTTATCTGTTATTATCCAGGTGTTGGTGGACAGGCACTGTGGCATGAGATGCAGCTCAAGAAATCCAAGAGCCATGCTGCCGACCTGATTGTTTGTGTTATTATCCAGGTGTTGGTGGACAGGCACTTTGGCATGAGATGCAGCTCAAGATATCCAAGAGCCATGCTGCTGACCTGATGTTTGCCTCTAACCTTCTTGTTGAGGTCAATCAATCCAGCTGGACCGCTTCGAGCAGAGGACCAAACCAGAAATCCCAGTAAAGCACTGCTATTTCCTATTTCCACTTTTCAAGTATGGAGTGACAGGCATGCAGCAAAAATGTGGATATTCCTTGTTTGCATAATGATTACATTAGTTGTACAAAGCACCTACTTTCCATATACAACCTAAAATAGGAATTAAACCTACTGGTGCTTTTCTTAATTACAGTAGGACCCAGAGGAACATGATCTCATATCTCTGAAGATCTACCAATATTACCACCTGGTAGATTTTTTTCTTCTTTTAAACACTCCTTGTGAATCTTTAAAGCTCAGGGTGAAAGACAATGCAGAGACAGAAATCAGTTTTGCAGGCAGATAGTTCCTAATTTATTTTATTGCCTGCTTCTGAAGAACAGGGTTGATTCAAAGCAGCACTGAGAGTAGAAGGCCATCAAACTTCACAGAGTTCCAGCTGGATCCAGTTCTGAGCTCTGAATATTATTATCAGCCCAAAGTTAGGTGGAAGTCAGTTCATGGAAGTGTAAATAAACTGAAAAACCCCAAACAAAACCAAACCAACACTCTCCCTTTCAGCTGGAAAAGCAAAGGACTGCCTGAGTAATTCAGATTTTTAACATGTCTCAGAGACCTGCTGCCTTTTACCCCTGTGTATAATTAGTGGGATTGATCACTACCTGATCTTAGTTATCTAAACCACAGCTGCAGGGTGACGACCACCACCTTAGCTTTTCCCGATGAAGAGTTTACAACTGTGGTCAGAGCTTCCCCAGAACCTACAAACTACTTGTTTGGCAGAAAATTAAGGGGAAATAAAGGAAGGAAAGGAAGGAAATTAAGAAAGGCCAGCCTGTCTGCAGGCACTTAAATTTACTGCACAGTGCTCTGCTTCTCTGTGGCAATGTTTTAGAGGGGTTCACAAAATCATAAAAAGGATAAAAACTGTCATGCTGGGAATGCTGCTTCTGATCTTTTTCTCCCACCAGGCAGCTAGGGGGAAAGTTCATGGTTTTTAAATTTGATCCACTAACACCAATGCTCAGAAGACAGGCTCAGGCAGATACAGAGTCCCAGTACTCAGTACTTTGTTAGGCTGCCTGGGCTGTCGCAGCAGATGAATTCTGGTCAAACTGAACAAAAATCCTCAACTCTAAAGGCAGGTGAGCTCTTCTGAGGCCGTACTGCATGTGCCACGTTAGAATTTATCTGACTGCTGGGCAGCGATTTCTTCTCAGCAGCCCTTTAAGTACAGCTTAGTAAGAGAAGATGATCTGTGCCTGAATCCATATGTAAAAATCCATATTTTACATATGATCTCCATGTACACACACTGTACTTAACCGATCTGGGAGACAGCACTTCAAAGGAGGGAGAAAAAAGCATTCAGTGATTTAAGATCCGTTTCCTTGTTAAGTATGACGATAGGTTGGTCAAGAGCTTGGCACAAAGAGGTTGTGATGCCTCCTGGCAGCCACTCAGGACACTCTGAGCAATTCCTTTCTCAACAGGAATTGCTGACGGCCACGCAGCGTCCCACTGCTCCAGGTTTTATCCAAAGAAGTCAACATCTATGGCAGAGGATGTAACCGAACATGACCCACCCCCTCATTTTCCCCATGATTTGAGCCTTTCTCCTGACTTTCAGGAAGCCATAAAATAATTAAAGTCCGGAGCGGACAAAGCATTAAAATAAAAGCCCATTGATTAAACACTGCTTTAGCTGAGGCTGTTAAAGACTATTAGAGCCCCGTCCCCGCCAGCCGCAGAGGGTGCAGTGCCGGCGGGGAGCGGCAGAGGGCACCCGCAGCCCACGCCAGCCTGTCCCCCACTCCCCGAGCTGTCACCCCACGCCTGGGGGCCCAGCATCGCCCTCCGCATTGCAGTGTGACAATGTCACCCAAAAACTGGGAGAAAAAAAAGGGGTTTGTTCAGTGTCGGGTACTGGCCGGGCACGAAACACTACCTTCGAGCAGTGCTTTCTAACAGGAGGGCAGTCACACTACAAAGTTTTCAAATATAATTATATTTGGTTAATTATTTCACGCTTAGCTTCAGCTGGGTGTAGTCCAGACATTTCTGGTACATCCAACATGCCGAGGCAGTTGATTTGAAAGTCTGACTACTCAGTTATGCAGCTTGAAGAATTCCAGTTCAGGGTGAGTGAGAGCATCGTTAGGGCAAAACCTGCCCCTGGTACCCACTGTCACAGGAGATGCCTTAACGATCAGGCACAGGTCTTCAGGAAGGACTAATTTTAAGTTGTATATTCCTTCAGTGGTGAGAAGAGTTACAAGCTACTGACTCTACGCATCTACAGTGTTTGTAAAATTTAAAAAAAAAAAGGCAATTAAGCCAAATTCTAGGGCCAGTTATACCTGGGAATTTTGAGCTTAATTCTACAAAAGTATACACCTACAAAGCTGCACGTAAAATTAAAATCTGAGCATGTATTCAACACTTCTGGTTTTCTCTTTGCACTCCCATGCCAACAAGAGTATTAGCTGTGGGCAGCTCTGCACAGCGCCCCAGGTATGTACAAACCAAAATAACCTACCTGTTAAAAATAAAACAACAAAAAACAAATAAACAAAAAAAAAATCATGAGTAACCATGCTTTTTGTGTATTCTCCCCCAAAAGATTTCACTCCTCCATGCCATAACCCAAGAAGGCCAAAGGAGTTCTATCGTTGGCATGCTTAGCATATTAATCTTAATTTTAGATATAACTGTATAAAATACATTCACACGAATGAATTAAAGTAACTGCAGGGATGATCACATCAAAAGTGCTCACCCCATTTCAGTTATCAACCAAAACATGAGGATTTCTGCACCCAGCTTCAATCAACACACTCATTATTTGCAGCAGCCTCAGTTCTTCATACGCAAACATCCTGCCTCACTGATACCAGGAAGGATAAAGCATAAAGACTTACTGATGATTTGACAACATTTCTATTAATAATAATTAAATTCAAGCAGCCACAGTGAGTGAAGAGGTCCTAAATTGTCGGTGCAGTACATTAGATGTGGAAACTAGTCTCTGTAAGTACATTCAGGCAGCTCTGTTTAATGATTAGACGACTATTAGTCTTTCTGCAGCATGCATCAGTAAGTGAAAAGGGTGTGAATTACACGATCGTATTTCTTTTCCTGCCTGAGAAAAAGCACTACACTGAACTTTGTGATTTCTCCACTTCTTGCAAATTGGAAAAACCACTGCAGCTGGCTGGCTGGAGGTCTGGGACACCCAGTTTCAGAAACAACTCCACAAAGCAAAGGGCAGAAATGATCTGTTCTCTCCCTGGGAGGGAGGGTGAGTGGGCTCCCAGTTCAGCTGACACAAGAGATAAAGGCTGAAGCAGGACTACAAACTTTGAGCTTAAATGCACTTCGGAGCAGGAATCAGACAGGTCACCTGCCTCGAGCCCAAAGCAGCCAGGGAGGTACTTTTCAGGATGACATCCCAATTACCACCTTCTGGGACAATGTAATTCACAGATCAAGCCAAACTCCCTGCCTGCCATCAGGAGACAAAGGGGAACACAGTGAAAACTGGACGTATTAAAGGAAAAGAGTGGAGACCAGCAGCAAAAAAAAATCTCCACAGATGGTTCTGGACTTGAATTTCCTCCATAAACAACCTCCTTCAAGCACCCTCCATCTCTCATTGAAATCTCTGAAGTCAGCAGGAACAGGGAGCAGGAACGTTCTGCAGCTCTAAAAATAAGGCCACTCCTAAACACCTCTAAACATAAATGTACAAGTTTGATAATCCTGGCCTTGAGCTTTATTTTTATGTCCTAACCCATCAATTAGAAAACAACAGTACCAGAAGGCTGGACAATGCCTTCTCCACACTGGGATCTGTGACAAGCAGAAGGAAAATTTAGATGCTCGAGCACGGGGCTGATTCAGAGAAGTGGAGATATTTGGCAAGCCCACCTCAAAAAAAACCCACAGAATAATATCAGGCCAATCACACAACAAGCCCCAGCAAAACAAGAATTTGCTGATAGTCTCCCATTCATGACGATGCCCTGTTCTTTAAACCACACTAAGCAGCACCTGAGTAAGAAACAGCTTCACATTCTCCATCCCTTGCTTGTACTGAATTAATTATGTCAGGTTTTCAACATCACAGTGGTATGCAACGATCCAGAGTTGCACTAACACACACACACATGCAAAATCCCTCCTGGTTTTAAAATAACAAGCAAGAGACCGAACAGCAACGTGTGCCTGCACAGAACTTGTGTTTCAGCAACTCGATCCTTTACTGCTGAGTCAGGCACTTCTTCCAGCGGCTGAAATTTGAAAAAAAGACACATCCTAAGGTTTATGTGCCAGTGAGATGCTGGTCTCGCACCGATTCCCTGCTGAGGGCTGAAATGCACCCCTCAGCAGCTCGTACAAGGCAGAAACGTGTAATTGCTTAACGTTTAGTGATTGAGTCCTCATGTTTCTCTCTGAAGAAGCACCGCTCGGTGTTGAGTCACCACGTTTCGTTCAGTTGAAACGTGAAGACCCATCTGGTTACTGTATGAAAGTAAATCTCCAGGTAATTATAGTCTCTAAACCAGCCGAGAACCGCGTGCTTACGTCTTTGCAAAGTATATGGTAACACAAGCTCGGTAACAGTACATCTGCACAGCTCACAACAGAAAACTTTGAGGAATGCGTTTAAAAAACATAAAGCGACAGTTCGTAATGTTTTTAGCAGAGAAGACAAACTTACAATTTGTAGCTGCTGCACCATTTCTTCTCTGTACGCCAGTTCCCGCTTCATCTGATCTTGAAAATTATCTAAACGGGAGGGGAAAAAGGTAGGTGCAGTAATTAAAACAGAGACCACATGGCAGAATTCATACAAAGCAAATTAAACCAAACCCAATCGCTACTGAGGAATTGTGAAGCACTACAAAGCCCTTTGCCCAGCTAAAACGCACCCAACAAAAACTTCTTGCCCAGCTAAAACGCACCCAACAAAAACTTCTTCTCTCGTAGGAGACACTGTAGATCAAAGAACAACTGTGGAAAAATCAGATTCTTCCCCAATTAGCAAATGGAGGCTGCTGAATTTCTGTCACTAGCGTTCAATCCCACAGGGATTTTCTCAATGGCCCCGACACTGCAGCCATTAGTCAAACTTCTACCAACGCTGATTTGAGGAGCAAAAACTGCTCTTCTTTGCTTTGGCATAAATCTGTTGACATCAATAGGGATGTCCAGTATGTGAGAAGAGAAAGCGTTCAAGGATGCAGGGTTTGATTTGTAGTTTTGTAACACGGCGCTGACGGCTTTGAGCAAAACTCAGACTAAAGCTCTGTAAACGCGGAATTTCGAAGGGACAAAAATCTGTGAAAGACAGATCCTAGAAAGCCTAGAAGTTAACAGCACAGGCCAGCCCTCCTGCTCCTGCAGCTCCTCCCTCATTTTCCTCCTCAGTAACCATTTCAGACATAACTTAATTTGGTAAAAGATTAACTGCTGGTCTGTGTTCTATAACACAGCTGTTGGAGGTTGGGAAAAAGACAGAAAAATATAAATAAAACTATTAAAAAGAAGCTAGTAACTTGGTGAGTTGCATGATGGAGACCTGTCCTATTAAATGGAAGAGGAAAGAAAACCCATTCCAGCCTACATCATTTTGACCCAAGAGACCTGTCCTGGACCACAGGACCAGCAACGTGAATGCCAGCAGAAAACAGCATGGAGCACCTCAACTCAGAGCTTGGAGAAGGGCACTGAAAGGCCAAGGCAGCTAAAATGGTTTATTTAGTACTAACCAATTAAAAGAGTTAAATAGTCATGCCGTTTGCTGGAATGCTAGTCCAGGACTCAGGAAGTCTGGGTTCAGTATCCGCTCTACTGGACTCCATGCGTGTATCTCTCCATGCCTCCTTTCATCACCACCAAAGGGGGAATAATCACATAACTACAGAATCACAGAATGATATGGGGTTGGAAGGAATCTCTGGAGACCACCTAGTCCAATCCCCTGCCAGAGCAGGTCCACCCAGAGCAGGTTGCACAGGAATGTGTCCAGGTGGGGTTTGAATGTCTCCAGAGATGGAGACTCCACCACCTCTCTGGGCAGCCTCTGCCAGGGCTCCGGCGCTCTCAAAGGAAACAAGTTCCTCCTCGTGTTGAGATGGAACTTCCTGAGTTCAAGTTTGTGCCCGTTCCCTCTTGTCCTGTCCCTGGGCACCACTGAAAAAAGCCTGGCCCCATCCTCCTGACACCCACCCTTCAAGTATTTATAGGCCTTGATCAGATCCCCCCTCAGTCTTCTCTTCTCCAGACTCAAAAGCCCCAAGTCCCTCAGCCTTTCCTTGTAAGAGAGATCTTCTAGTCTCCTAATGGTCTTCCTATCCCTTTACTGTACCCTCTTCAGCAGTCCCCTTTCCATCTTGACCTTCAAACTGCATTGCTTCATCTGCCAAGTCTGTTGGGAGGATTAATGGATTAAATGACTGTGGGATACTTGGACAGCAGAGTAACGGGAGTCACAGAAATGCCTAAATTGCAACGGAAAGGTCTAAGCCCGGGTGAGAATGAGCAGCTCCTATTAACACTCCGTGTGCTGCTGCAGTGCTAGGAGCTCACCCACTCCCAAACCAGCCCTGCCACGACTTCTCAACCCCAGGAGCAGGCAGGCAGTGACAAGCCGTGGCACCATACAGTGGAGAGGAAGGACCTCACTTGTGGGGACAGGGGACGTGTCCCTATCAAATGCAGGCACAGGGAAGGGGCTAGGAGAAAGCACAAGGCAGCAGAGCTCTCTCCTCCTCTTTCACACAAGAATTTTGCCCTCCCTGGATGACAAGCAAAAGTTGTTGTTTAAAAGGCAAGGAGGACTTTAGGACAACAACAAAATAGCAATGAGACAGAGTAAGAAAAATTGTCAGGATGAAACCATCAGGATCCAGCACAGAGACATAGAAAAGGATATGATGACATTAACTTAATAAATCTCTTCAGATTTCAAGTAAACACCCACAGAATTTTCCAGCCTATTCCCTCTGCTCCAACTCAACCACTAAAAAAAAGCTGACAGAAATAAAGCAGGTTTGCAATTTCTCTCTTCCTAGCCCCAAAAATGCTGTGCAGTGTAAAAAGGTGACCACCTCCTTGTCCTAAAGGTCACTAAAGGCTGATAGAAGTGTGCTAGTTCCTCCAGCTTCACCCCGAGTAGACTACATGGAGAAATTCTCCTCCTCTCCTCAACGCTTTCCTCTCGACTGGTTCTTTCACAGCCTCATCACCTCCCAGAACAAACAGCAGAGAAATTCTGCTCGGTCCTGCACTGCAAATGTCCAGTGGAAATGGGGTGTTAATGGTAAAGACAGTGTTTTTTTCCGGCAGCATTTATCTGAGTCCGAATGCTTACAGACATAGCCCTGAGCAATACCCAAGAGGAAAGATATGAATATTTAAATAGTTTTCTTAACACAGAATTAAATACTTTAACTATCCAGACTACGTCTCTGCCATTTTATTACCAGGTTGTTAAATGCAGCAGGACAGAATGCCGACACCAAAGCTAGAAACCAGCGGAGGGTTCTGGGAGAACACACCGTCACCAGACCCAGGTGCTCACACAGAATCACAGAATGCTTTGGGTTGGAAGGGACCTTAAAGATCATTGAGTTCCAACCCCCCCTGCCATGGGCAGGGACACCTCCCACCAGACCAGGCTGCTCAAAGCCCAGTATATATTATATTTCTATCAGGACAGCAAATTCTTTGATTTTCTTCAAGTGATCCCATCTTTTTTTTGTGTTCTTTAAGTGATCTCTGCGTTGAGAGATCTTACAGGCAAAGGAAAATCTCACCTGCAGTTTTCAAGTACAATAGCAACGTTAAAAATAAAGGTGCAAACAGCAGAAGACAAGGATAATTTTATAAATTATCAGAGGCCACATTTCCAGCAGGTACAAGAAGCCACAGAGAAGCTAAACGAGCTTGCAAATAAAACCAGCTCTCATTTAACAGCGATTTCCACGAGAAGAACATGGAAACCAAACACAATTTACACACACCACTGCATAGCACTGCTGTGGGTGGTGGTTTGATGCTATTAATGTGTTAACGCCCCAAATGCGCTCAGTTCCAAATGCAAGACCCAAAAAAAGGTGACTTTCAAGTTAACTCCAGGTAATGTGACAGGAGCATTTTCTAGAGAGACACAGCGTCACCTTCCACATTTCACTCGTCAGCTCCCTGCTGAAATGGGGATGAATTTTCTCCTTTGTAAAAAAGGTTGAGAAGATTTAAAAGCCAAGGGCTCCTCACTTACCCACAGATGGTGCAAAGCAGAATGAGAAGCCCCTCGACGTGTGGGAGTGACAATGACCCTGGCAGCGTGTTCCTGTCCTCGGCAGCTTTAAGGATGGGACAGAGAACCATCCCCATGGCCGCTCACAGCCTGGCCAGACTGGGATATAAACCTGTTACCTGCCTGCTCTTTGCTCCCTCCTACAGCCCCAGGTCTCTTCAAGCTGTGATAAATCCACCAACACCATTTTAACTTCTCCTCCACCTTCCTTTAGTTGGATTTTCCCCCCAGCTCCTCCCTATCCAGCATCTCCACAAGCAGTTAATAACTTGGGAAACCTGAAAAACCAAGTATTTTCTAATACCTGACCTAAAATAATAGGCCCATCCGGCAGCAAGAGACTGAAACAGGCCCTATCTCTTTTACTAGAACTGCTCTAGAGGACAAACCACACTTATCTCAGATTTTACACGTATTTGCTTTACAAATAAAGCAATTTTTTTTTTGTTTTATTAGCTGTGGAGGAGGGGTGGTTTTTTGGTAAATCTAAATCTGTAAATAGGTTTTACGGTCACTTGTATATGTTGTTTATAGCACATTATGTGTTTTCTATTTTAATCCTGAAGAAAATTGACCACTACTTTGCGGTACACTGAAACCACATATTTTTCAAGCCGACATGTACAGTAGCCACTTCCTTGGTCGGCCGTATGTGTTCTTTTCTTTTATTTGAATTGTATTTCATGTGGTTTAATTGCAGTATTTATTTACATTGCAATGACAGAGCATTAATTTTACTGGAGAAGAACAAAAGGATAAATGAGTGACCTGAATGGCAAAACTCCAAGATGCCATTTTGCCAATACCACACATCACTGTTTTGATCTACACAAATTATTTGAAAATTACCTCACTCCCAAACCCAAGTAATGACTGAATTTATACTGAAGGATGAGGTTATCCTCCTTTCATTAATATCTGTATCACCTCAGGCAGCTCTTCTCCTTTATTTATGAAGCTGTCTACATCTTTCGATATTTGAGATAAAGATGGGAGTCATTCTCAGAGTCCTCACACTTTCTGGTTTCCCTGAACTTAGCCTGTACGATGCTGCAGAAAGGGGAAAAAGCATATTTTCTTTAAATAATAGGAAAATGCTGTCTGTGTTCCCATCTCTTCCTGCAATCCAGGGAGATGCAACATTCGTCAGCTTGCAGCAATGGGTTTTGGTCGACTGACTTACCTCAGGGGTACTGGTGGTACTGGGTTTTCTCCCTGGAGTTTTTAATGAAGGAACTGGGAGGACTAACAGTTTCTGAACTCTTCAAGCAACTATAATAAACCAGCACGAGGGCATTTTGAGTTAGTGCTGGTCAAACACTTCAGTCCCACAGGAGTAAGGAGGATAAGTTAGCAAATGGCAGAAGAGCCTGACATTCAGTTTGGGCAGGTTTTATTGTGTCTATCTTGGATTACTGCGAGCCAGGTAACTCCACAGTGCTCCATCCACATAGAGCCTCACAGG